ATTCCAACCTGGGCTATTGTTCTTTTTGCAGTTAGCACCTTCTATTTTTGATAAAGCTTTTTTTTTAGCAAACCGTTACTTTTCGTGCAAACTTGGCATTTTTTCCTATTAAGGGCCCGAACAAGTGATTTTTGCGTTGTTCGATTTGGTTCAGGACATCTATCAAGCTCATTGCAACGACTGCAGAAGAAAGACTAAGCTCATTCTGCCCCGCTCACACTTTCTCCTCTCTCGACTCCTCATCGCTGAAAGAAATGAGTTGAACTGCCAGGTAGCTGATTATCCACCTGTGACAGTAAATTTTCCATTTAATTAGCATGGAATGCAAAGAATGCAGGCATGTGCTGCGTTTTAGTCTACGAATGTACTGTTTCTACGGATCCGCATCTTTACCAAACAAATAGAAACAGACAAAGAATGTGCAAAAATTGCGGATTCAGCAAATCTATCCATCAACAGTGATGTAACATAAAATGCTAACTAAAATAGTGTGAATGGTTTGGAAAAACCGCGTAAGAAGTTGCGTCCAGTTTCCTTCTCCGATGCATTCTTAGTTGAGCCACTGTCCTGCAATGAAACATACAACTTCAGTACCACTCGTTTTTCTTTTAAGCGAACAAGAGGCCACTGACACTGCCAAATTATATCATTCTTTATATGGTATTTTTTATACCAAATTCAAAATCCGTTTTGCACGCAAACTTCAAAAGCAGGCGGAGTCTCTCATTCCAAAAACGAATGAAAGCGTTTTTGGCTGTGGTATTAAGTATCTTTCGTTAAAGCTGAATGGGGATAGGATTCGCCCTTGAGGACTGACCGAGTTGAAAAAATGCTGTTATACTCGAGTAAGCCGGTGTCATTACGCTTCTGAATAAAATAACGACGAAGCACTAGGAAGTGATTTTTTTTCACATGCAAATCGAGCTGCGGACAATTCCCTTGTTGGTTTACAGTAATCTAAGTCGAACACAATAGCATGGAGCTTTTTGTCAAAAGCTCGATTAAGTTTAAATTGGTGCTGATCAGGAGAATATTCCCCTTGTAGACAACAAAATTACCGTTGCTGTTTGCGTATGGACAAAACAAAACACTAGAAAAACCGAGAGGTGTAAATTCCTGACTGTAAAGGAATGAAATTCATTGACGAACAAGCATCGCTGCACAAAAATATGTAAAATCATACTCACAACAGCAGCGTGATGTGCGGTGCTACTATTTCTTTTTATCCCCAGGATATTTCATGCAGAATCAGAAAGTACTCTCACCTGCATCTTTTATTTTTCGTTGTTCCTCCTGCTGCATTGGTACAAGCCGTTTTAAGCGTCTTGTAAAGTAACTGTCCAGGGGATTTTCATAATGGGAGCGCATCTGTCGAGTTACTGCTTCTGCTACTTGTCTAAGCATATTACGCTTGAAGCGTGTACCACCAGTTGTCTCGTTGCTGTGTTGAAAACCGTATTTGTAAATTTCCCTACATCCACGCTGATACAATTTAAATTCCTCTTTCTGCTGCATGTCTTCGACTCCTTCGAAAGTTTGGTTTAGTTTTTTATCAATTTCTCCAAATTTTTTTCCCGATTCCTTCATTTCTTGCAATTCTTTCGCTTTTTCCTCACCGAATGTACGTGCTAAAAAGTCGTTGCAACTTCGCCCCAGCAGTTCGGTTGCTTCTTTTTTGACCGATCCGGTAGCACTGCGGTAGTATTGCAAAACCTTATCCTGCATTTCTGTCCACGTTTTCCTCTCTTCTTCCAAGTGTTTAAGTTCTTTTTTCTCCTCCTCCGTTAGCCATTTGAGCTGATGTTCAAAGTAATATTCCAAGCTGCGAATTCCATGATTTTTTTGTTCCTGTGCTAATTCGAATGCTTTCCGACAAGGAGCGCCAAATTCCTTGATTTTCTCCTTTTTATGATTGTCGGTCACTTCCCCAAAATCAGCGTCTATTTTTTTAAATAGTTCTTCGACGGTTGCTCCAGAATCTCTCATCTTCTTCAATTCCGCTGCTTTTTGCTCTCCAACCACGTTTTTCAGCAGTAACTGGCAGCCACCAAGAATCTGTTCAACAGCGCGATGCTTCTTCTCGCCGTGCAGCTTCCCAAGGTATTCCAGAACTTTGTGCTCACGATCGCTGAGCGACTTGCCTTCCTTTTTCATTTTTCTCATTTCATTTTTTTGCTCTTCCGTAAGCCAGCTTAAGTCCGTTTTTAAGTAGTCTTCCAGCACACGTCTCGATAATTCACCATGGTGCTTTTTATGCCAATTTTCAGCAGCTACAAAGCAAAGCGACTTAACCTCCTCGAATTGCTTCTTTTTTTCCCCATCTTTTCCTTCTCCAACCATCACAAGCACTTTTTCCTTCAGTTCTTCCAGCTTAGCCCCAAAATCCTTTAAATTTCTAAGTTCTATGTATTTCTCATTACCAACAATCTCAATAAACAGTTCGCGACAGCCTTCCATTAACATTTCCGTCGCTTGGTCTTTCTCATCACCTTCCTCTTTCTCATAATAATGCATAACTTTTTCAATAAGCTGAACATTTGATTTTCCCCCACTCTTCATGTTTATCAGTTCAGCTTTTTGTGAGCTGGACAACCATTTCAGGTGTGTTTCCAGGCAATGTTTCAGACTGGGTACATCATGATGATTATGGCCCTCGTGCTGAAGCGCCATAGTAACCACTTTTCTACATCCGGGCCCGTAGTGCTCAATCTTTCCCTTTTTTCGCTCATCTTTCACATCCTTCAGCATGGCATCAACTTTGTTTTTCAGTTCTTCAATGGCTAGACCTGACTCTTTTAACTTCTTCACTTCAGCGTATGCTTCATCACCGAGGACGTACTTCAGAAGTTCACGGCATCCCTCGTGTAACGCATCAACTGCGTGGCATTTGGAATCGCTAGATAAATTATCCATATAACCGATGATTCGCTCCAGAATTTCCGATGCCGATTTACCATCATGCTTCATTTTTCGAATCTCGTCTTTTTGGCTGCTCGAAAGCCAGGATAATTTTGCGTCGAAGTAGTGTTCGAAAGTGTGCTT